ATCATCAGGCACAGGTAGCGTGTGTAATCATTTGATGAGGAATGTCTTCTCTAATTGACTGCTCGGGGTCCCGAGCAATCAATGGTGAGTTGTCGGGACGCCGACGGTACAATATGCTCCTTTCGGGAAGGATGCAATAAATGCTCTGTAATAGGAGCATTTATTGCCTTTCATATCCGAACCTTACCGCATTAAATGCGGTCTCGTCAACAGAAGGGTGTAATTAATTGTTTGCTTTCCCAAGTCGCGTGCCAGCAGCGGCATGCGGTTTGTCTGCTTCGGATGTGACATTATTTGCCACACGTCCATCCCTTATTGGCTGTTACGTCGGTATTCCAGCACGTTCTGACATTACTTGTGTAAGAAGAGCTCATGATGACTAGTCCATACTGGCATAGGCTGATGTCTAGTTTTGTCAGTAGCTTAGTCCGGGAGTAGGGGAAGCGTCCAGGATGGAGTGACCCTCGGTGCCGAGGAAAGGCTCACCTCGGGGGACCAAGGGGTGGTGTGTTCCCTAGGTACATGGTGACCGAGGACACATGTCTTTGTATACTGTACCGAATATGTGATCCTATATGAGAGGTATCTCGGGGAGAGGAAGCTTTGCCGATGGTGCTTGAACCCGAGCAACATTGTTCTAGAAACCCCCCCCCNGGGGAGAGGAAGCTTTGCCGATGGTGCTTGAACCCGAGCAACATTGTTCTAGAAACCCCCCCCGAGGACACGTGTCTTCATCATAGGCTTTTTCAGAAGAGTCCCATCAGGAAGTACTTCTCTCACCTCCCGTGGCGTCATATGCACAACCCGTCCTACCTCCTTACCCCTTGGGCTTATTCATCATCTTTCCAAATTTCACTTATCAAATTAATACCAATTAATCTATCGAATTAGTGGTCTAGTGGTAAGTCATTTTTGGTTAGGATTATCCTTAACTCTCATATAGTTATCAAGTAAGATTCGATTTATAGAAGTAATGCAATTTGTTTGTTAACTTGGTGGTACTATGATGACAGAATGTCCTTTTGGATTAATAACTATGACTTAAATTAAATATTCTACAGTACGGGAGATCCTTCCTTATGGTCATGTCTAGGGGATTACTACCTAAGGGTAGCCCCTCCCCCCTTTTCTAGTTCAAAAAAAATTTAATATCCATTATTAATTAGTAAGATTAATCCAAAAGTTTACTAAATGAGATATAAAAAATTTATATACACATCATTCCTTCCTAGAAAATTGATCCAAATATCTTTTCATAGTTTTTTCTTGACAAATTGTCAACCATTAACAAGTAAAAGACTCATTTAACTGTAATAGATTCCACTTGAATATAAATTGGGTGGAAGATAACGATTGGTCTAATGATCACCAATTCCTTTATTAGATGTTAAAGTTGTGAGTTTGAATTTTGTCATCTCTCTCCTATAATAGTTCGTAAGATTGAATCTCGTCATCTCTCTCGTACACTAGTTGGCCTAATGATCACTGTCTCTGTTGTTAGATATTAAAATTGTGAGTTTCTCGTTGTTTTTCTCCCAGTAATAATGTCTGACCGAAAAAAAAAAATTATTGTATTTGGTTGTTCTCATTGTAATCTTTGATATTATGCTATTGCATAAAAAATGAATTTTCTCAACATATTCAAATTAACCGATCTTGTATGTTATTACTTACCTAAAATCGAGCAACCCAATAAAGTTATTAAAATACATAAAATAATCAGATTCTTTTTTGTGCACTGTCGTTGTTGAAGCTAATAATAACAAATTGAGCATTCCAGCTTATCAAGCGTATCGAAAGAAGCGAGTTTGTATCGAATTTTAATATATTCGTAGCATATCAAATTTGTATTGTGTGAACTAATATAAATACGAGTCATGTTGTATATGTTTTTAATTAACTTTAGTCATACATAGTTTATTTATTAATTGTGTTGTGTTAAAATTATTCATTTATAAAATAGGTGGCTTAAAAAGACTCAAACCTTCTAAGATTTACCTGATACAAATTTGTCTTAGTATACGATGATGCACAAAATAGTTTTGCACACCACTCATCAAGTGTGAATAATAAATGCAAGAAATAAAATAAAGAGATGGAGAGACACAAGTAATTTATAGTGGTTCGGTCAACTCGACCTCCTACGTCCACTCTTAAATGACTCTGATCGCCGGGTACTTTATTAACTCAAGGGCGTGGGGAACAGAAAGTACAAACTTTTTGGGAGAGGAGAGAGTCGTGCTCAGATAAAGTGATATCTACCTCCCAAGTGTTGGTGAAGCTTACAATTTATAATCGTCTTTCTAATAAATTTGGGCAAGATATTAGTAAATAGTTGACTAGTTTGTTGGATCTGACGAGCTCTTCTCAATGTGCTAGACAGTTGCGGTACTATCCATGAGATTCGGTCAAAGGATGAGGTGAGGTGTTGACCATCTCCAGGGCAGCGAGGACAGGATTTTGGATGATCTTGCTTGCTCTCTTAGCTCCTTGAGTTGTTGAGCTTGACCGGGCTGATCACATTGATGAGTTTGATCGGGCTGATCACACTGATGAGCTTGACCGGATTGAGCTGATGAGCTTGACCAAGTTGGCCACACTGGACTGAATTTGCTGAATCTTTTGGAGTCGGACTATAAACTTGAACTGGACTTATAACATGAGTTGAGTTTTTGAGCTTGACCCATCAGTATATATTAAATAAAATTTATTATTAATTTAATAAAAATAATATATTAAATTTTAAAATTAAATATAAGAGTCGTTGTTGTTTGATTAGATATTATTATATTAACCTAATACCAAAAAAAAATAATTATATAAATATAATTAACTTGAAACAATTATATTGCGTAAATATGTAATGCCATCAGCTATGCCCCGGTTGCACAACAACCCTATATTATATGTGGAAAAGAACGAATTGACTATAAAAATTACAATAAGGGAATCCTCTGTCTCTTATAATTCTAAATGGTACCCTTGTAGTTTTTCAAATCATACCGACAAGGCCTACTAGATTTGGACACACGTATCGAGGGGCATAGCCATTTTTTATTTTTGATGCACAACTTAATTACAAGACAATGGTAGGGTGTGCATAATTCAATACATTTTAATGACATTTAAAGTGGACAAATACTTGAGATCCCAAATGAGAGAGAAATATTTGATGAGTGGGTCGTGTCAATTTTTTTTAACAAAATTCACGGATCTAATGGTCCATATAAAAGAATTAACGTGACTCGCATGATTTGGCATATGTGATTTTATTGATTATTATTGAATAATTAGTTTGAACTAGATAATGATAGTGTTATCAATTCTAATCTAATCGGTATAACTAAAATTTATAATTGGTCAATTAAAAGAAACAGTTTCCTATACATCTACTTTGATAGGAAATGGAATTATGGTTGAACGAGAAAACTTAACGGTTTATGATTGGTCAATTAAGAGAAGTAGTTTTCTATACTTTGATGGGAAGTGGAATTATGGTTGAACAAGTAAACCGGTCCTATAAATATACACACACTTTATTGAGTTGTGTATCATAAAAGAGAGAGATTGATTTTTCAGGCTACATGAAAAGGGTTTTTGGATTAAGATTTACGATGACGGCTCTAGGTATGTTGATATGAGTATATAAAAATCATAATTGTTCTAGATCTTAGATTATAATGTTTTATTCTGTATTATGAGTATGTTAAAATAATCATGATTGTTCTAGGTCTTGGATTATAATGTTTTAATTTTGTATTATGGGTATGTGAAAATCATGATTATTCTAGAGCTTGAAATTAGGGTTTGATTGATCTTTTGATAAAATATTTGGGGCGTAAGTGTAATATTTATCACATAAAGACTTTTAAAGGCCTCCTACAGAGCCCTTAAAAGTCTTTTAGAAGTTGGAAATTCCTCTCCTATTTAATTGTGATTCACAGCCTCCTTGGCTTCGTTCTCTCCTCCTACAGAGCCCTCCGCTCTCTTCTTGGAATAAGAATTATTCTTAGGAATCTAATCTTTCTTCTTTCTCTCTCTACATTTCCTCTGCAAATTTTCTCTTCTCTGTCTCTCCGATTAGATTCTCTTTTACGTATATATTAGTTCAACAACTTCTTAGCTTCTCCGTTGCCATAGAAGATGATGAGTACCGTCGTCAAGATCGATGGGGAAGAACCAACCGACCTTCTTGACGATCTATCGGCCCAAGAACAGGTGGGTTTCCTGTGATTCGCCTTTAGTTTCTATATTTTTTGTTGATTTTTGAACTTCTTGGACTATTTCTTGATTGGTTTCCGAGAAAATTAACAGAGAATTCTTATGTTGTCCAATTTCCGTTGTTGCATTCTCTCCTAGAGGGCTCTTTTATTGGAATCGATTTTTCTCTCTTTACGTATATGACTTCGACAACATCTGAGCTTCTCTTTTCTTCTCCGGTGCCAAAGACGATGAGCACCGTCATCAAGGTCGATGGTGAAGAACTGGCCGACCTTCTTCATGATCTATCGGCCCAAGAACAGGTGGGTTTCGTCTGATTTTGTCGATTCTTGAACTTCTTGGACCACATCGTGCTTGTTTGCCGTGAAAAATTAGCGGAGAATTCGTATGTTGTCCAATTTCTGTTGTTTCAATTTACCGAGGGACCATTATTACTTATTTCTGTTGTTGCATTATCTGCTCTCTTCTTGGAATAAGAATTGCGCTTTGGAATTTCTCTCTCTCTCTCTCTCTCGCATGTATATTATTACTTCGACAACTTGTTAACTTCTCTTTTCTTCTCCGGTGCCATAGACAATAAGTACCGTCGTCAAGATTGATGATCAAGAATCAACCGACCTTCTTGACGATCTATCGGCCCAAGAACAGGTGGGTTTCATGTGATTCGCCTTAGTTTCTATATTTTTGTCGATTCTTGAACATCTTGGATATTGATTGATTTCCGAGAAAATTAAAGTTGTTCAATTTCTGATTGTTTCAATACACCGAGGTACCATTATTGTTTATTTCTGCTGCTGCATTTTCTCCTGGAGGGCTCTTTTCTTCTTTGGAATCGATATTTCTCTCTGTAGATTTTCTATTCTCTTTCCGATTAAATTCTCTTTTCTTCTCCGGTGCCATAGACAACGAGTACCATCGTCAAGATCGATAGTCAACAACCAACCGACCTTCTTGACGATCTATTGGGCCAAGAGCAGGTGGGTTTCTTGTGATTCCGCTTTAATTTCTATATTTTGTGCGTTCTTCAACTAGATCTTGCTTGGGTGGCGATAAATTTGACCAAAAATTACAAAAATATCTTAATATTATCCAATCATTATTATTTATTTTTGTTGTTTCAATTCACCGAGGGACCATTGGCAAAATGTAAAGTATCTTGTACATGTTCTTCAAATTTCTTGGCAACCAAATGGAGTATTAAGTCATATATTTTGCTTATATTTATTTTTGGGTTCATAGCATTTTGGTCAATCCTTTTTTGTTTGCCGAGAAAATCAATAGTGCAAGAAAATGTTGATTCTTCACTTTTGTTTCACAAAATTGGTTGTATTTAAATAAAATCTAGCAATTATGTG